TTACCTTTCAAATCGCTCCTTTCAAGTCCGCTGCGGCACTGAACTCTCCAAACATTATCCAATTGAGGCTGGTGTTCCACAAGGCAGTGTCTTGGGCCCAGTTCTCTATATCCTTTTCACCGCTGACATCCCTTCAAGTCCTGATACCTTCCTAGCAACATTTGCTGATGATACTGCCATCCTATCCTCCCACTCGGATCCTCTAATAGCGTCCCAGAACCTGCAAAGACACCTTTCCTTCATTGAGCAGTGGTGCAACAACTGGCGCATCAAAATTAATGAATCAAAATGCAAGTATGTAACTTTCACTCTTCGACGCAGATCCTGTCCGCCAATCCTTTTTAATTCAATTCCTCTTCCCTACTCAGACACAGTCCGATACCTTGGCTTCCTTCTGGACAAAAGACTGACTTGGAACCCACATACGAGACTTAAAAGACAAGAGCTTAACCGACGATTTGGTCAGCTATATAGACTACTAAACAGAAGATCTCATCTCTCAACAGAAAACAAATTATTAATCTACAAGACCATACTGAAACCTATCTGGACCTACGGACTTGAACTGTGGGGGACAACTAAATCATCGAATATCAAACGCATCCAATCCTTCCAGTCCAAAGTCCTTCGAACAATAGTCAATGCTCCATATTATGTCACGAACAAGACCCTACACCATGACCTTAACATCCCATATGTCCATGACATCATCCCATCCAGATTCTCCAACTTTCACCAGAACCTCATTCATCATCCCAATCCTCTAGCGCAATCCCTATCCAGCTCCGAGCATCCATACCATCCCCCTCGAAGGTTGAAACGGCAGTGGCCTCGAGATCTTTTGTAAATATGCCTTTGGAGTCCTGGCAATGGCCAGCTTCTCCACTGATGTCCTGAGCGTCTGTGGCTGTATTGCCCTCTTTCAGTCTCCACTGGCTTCTAATACTAGTGATGCGACTGGAAAAGTGGCACTGGGATCTTCCGGAGTCTTGCTTTGCCTTCCGCGTGTGGAGGTAAAAGCCTGGCTCGGAGATTCTTGGGCAAATGTATATATTGTATATAGTTATGATTGTGTTTAGAAGTTTTTATTTTATTTTATTTTATTTTTTTATTTATTTACCTTCTTCATCAGTATTATTTATTTACTTCTTATATTTATATTTATTTCTTTATTATTTGTATATATTGTATGAATGAGAACTTTTAGCCCTAATGCTTATAGCCCTCCAGCACTGGCTGATTGTATTATTATTTAATAAATAGATTTAAAAAAAAAAAAAAAATGTTAGGACAAATAAATATGTTTCATTTATTTCATATAAGGTAAATAATTCATAACAACGAAAATCTTTAAGTGTGAATATCTCCTAAACAAAGCGTTTGTGGAACTTCAGAGGAATTTTGTTTCTTGTTTTGAGGTCCTTAGTTCATTTTTGCAGTTTGGCCACTTAACCCTGAAACACCCTGTATATGTATATTGAAATAATTAACATAAAATCAAACTTTTACACTAACTAAAAATATTTCTTATTATATACAGGGTGTTTCAGGGTTAAGTGGCTAAACTGCAAAAATGAACTAATGACCTCAAAACAAGAAACAAAATTCCTCTGAAGTTCCGCAAACGCTTTGTTTAGGAGATATTCACACCTAAAGATTTTCGTTGTTATGAATTATTTACCTTATATGAAAGAAATAAAACATATTTATTTGTTCTAACTACTTTATTAATTAAATGTAAACATTAACATTCATATTAAATATTGTTCAAAGTGATTTCTTTGAGGATTAAGATAATTTACTGGACTTGCATACACTTTGTGTTTAATGTCACCACAACAAAAAAAATCCAGTTGTGTCAGGTCTGGAGAGCGTGCAGGCCAAGCCACTAGCCCTGCACGGCCAATCCATTGATTGCTATATGGGATGTGGAATATAATTGAGCAATTCCGGTCAATGACCTTAATTCCTTGCGAAGAAGGATAATTGAATCTTGTGAAACAATAACACATATCCAGTGCTGTTCTGCCACTGCTGCTGTTGAAGAAAGATGCCGAGTCTGTCTGAATGCTCAAGGAAATAGCTTTTAACAACATTTGATATGAATGTTAATGTTTACATTTAATTAATAAAGTGGTTAGAACAAATAAATAGGTTTTACTTATTTCATATAACGTAAATAATTCATAAAAACGAAAATCTTTAGTTACGGACATACCTTCAGAGGAAATTATTGTTTTGAGTTCCTTAGTTCATTTTTGCAGTTTGGCCTCTAAATTCTGAAACACCTTGTGTGTCTATTTTGACAGTTTTATACCTCCTTGGACATTTTGTTGATGGAGATAATAATGTTGTGAAAGGGAATATAAGAGCTCCGAGAAATGTATTAATTATCTGAAAGTATTTAATCGTCTACTTTATTTTTTCATTTTTCCTGGTTCTCGTCAACTGTGACAGAGCTGAAATGGAAAAGAAACAATATGTATTTTGTTTTACATATTTCAATCATGATAGACATATTGTATAGATAAAATAACCTTTGAGGTTCTTGGAAAAGACGCTTTGACTGACATAAGTCGTGAAGGCTGTATTTAAACTGCCCCTATGAGATGGGTTATAATAAGCCGCTTACGGTATATCTAACACTAGAGGCCCAGCGAAAGTGCTCAAGGGTGTGAAATGTCAACTGAGGGATCACTCACTACTTTCACATGCTAATGGGCTCGAGCAGCTGGATGGTGTACCACTCATCTCGGCTGCATCCATCAATCTCTTCTGTAACGGCTCCATCACTGCTGAGGAGGACCACCACCCGGAAAAAAGAACAAGAACATAGATGGGCTCCGATCTCAAGCTATTTATCATTGCCTGGAGAAAGTGCAGCTGTCTTAGGCTAAAGATCACTCCTTGATTCATCTGGATGAGGATGGTATATGAATAATATCTTACTTATTAAAATTCATAAAAAAGTATGCTACATTAACTAATAGTTATGAATTTTAACTTCTATGGAAAAAACAATGTTAGTCAACAAATATAAAATATAAAACTAAATGAAATAAGTATGAATATTAAAAGAAAAACGGAAACTTTATTAATTACAGCTTTAATGCTATCTATCAGGAATATTATATAAATGATAATTTATATAACGTAATACGATACATCATAAATAATACTTGTACAATGTTGTGTAACTATTTAATTTAGTTAATATAGCCTAAGTATGTACTTAATTTTATAATACAAATATTTTCTAGTAGTGCTATTATATAATGTTAATCCACTATTCAATTGCGTAATGCTGGATTGAAGTAATTTTTAATTAAGTATAATCATATATATTTGTTTTTCTCGATATTCCAAAATAAAATTATCAAAATAAAATAAATAAAATTAAAAAAGACTGTACCATTACAATCTATCAAGTTTTAAATGGTGAAATCATTAGAAAATAATGTTTTTATAAGAAGAGTTTTACTGAACTGTGAAAATTTATTTTTAAAAATCCAGAGAAGCAATTTTAATAGTCATATAACTGATATAACTGATATTATCCTCCTACTTTTCCAACAAATCTAAATTTAAAGAACTATAGTGTAAACATTTTTTTTTAAATTTTTCGGGAATGTTTTGTTCTCCACATGAGCATATAAATCCCAGTATTTTGGATAAATACATCTAAGTTTGGTCAATTATGGGATATTATTTGCCTTAAAAAGTTCAAGTGAAGACAAACACTTTAAACATTAATAGTGGAGAAATAGTCGAGTTTAAATGATATTGTTGAGGGTTTCATTCAGTGCGAAACTCAAATAAGAATTTAAAAAAAAAATTTATATTGTGATAAAAAAAAAATTAATTACATTTGAATGAATTATACGTGTTTACACTGCTAATTATTGATTCGAAATTTTTAATTTTTGTGAAGAGTAGGGATGTTATTAACATATAATAATAATACTTTTCAAATATACGGAAATATTCAAAATTGAAATCTCAGTTTTGTTGTGGCTTTGATAGCAACAATTAAATATTTAGTTGTCCATTAAATATTATTTATTGTTTATTGAAAAAGGAAACAGAGTATCTACCAACTTACTAATATTCGAAAATAATAAAAAATATAACTTATTACTAAAAACTTTTTTTATTATTTATTTTTTATTTATTGAGTATTACAACAACATGTCACTGTAAGGTAGGATAACATTCACACTATATGTACAAACAATATATAATAAATAGAAGCAAAATAACAATAAATAATAATCGAAAAGTATATACAATAAAAAAAAATTACTAAAAGCTAGGCAAAAAAATCAATGAAATTGCCTAACCCTAAATAAAATAAATATTTATTTTATTTATTAGATATACATATTTTTGGCTCACAATAAATTTGCCATCTACATTGGTATTCAGCAAATATGATATCAAGGACAAGAAACGATAGCATAAGAAAAAAAAAATAATAGTAATAACAAAAAAAAAAAAAAAAAAAAAAACAGTAGTAAAATAACACATACATATTAACAGAATAACACACAAAAATAATTTAATAAAATAAATAAAAATAATAGAAGAAAATTTATATTGAATAAATTACTAGAATTATTTAAAATTATTGACGTTTACTGTAAAAAGACCAATTGCAACGAATTATAGACAAAATAATTATATCTCAATATTAAAAAAAAAAAGAAGAAAAACGGATGAAAATCAAACTTGAATCAATGTTACTATAAATCAAAACAAGAGAAAAGTTATTAATAATTGTAAAATATAATAAATTAATTAAACTAATTTTTCTAAGTTTCTGAGGTATTAGAGATACTCTAATTTTGATGTGCTCATCAGCAAAGTGGGTTTCCTCCTAAATATATTTATCTTTATTTCTTGTTTTTTATTTAATATAATTTTTTTTCTTTTCATACATAAAATTTCAATATTCCAACATTTTTGTAATCTCTCAAGTCTCGGCAACTATCGTTGAATATTTATAAGTATATCCACCGCGACTGTCGGGGGTCCGAGACCCTCGGCTCTATTCCATTAACAGCTAGGAAGGAAGCGAAGAGGACGAGCCTAGGAGTCGCTGAGAGAAGGCTCTTTTGAATAACCAATTTGAATCCTAACGAACCGAATCAAATCGCCGATCCTGAAGTATGATGGGCGACTAGAGGCTCGTCAATGTTTCAACATGTTTAGCTCAACATTATGGCCGGCATAAATTAAGCGACCAGCGCCTCTATCCTCAGTTCACACTTTAACCGTGTACCGTTACAGCCAGGAGCATGAGTCGCAGCTAATGGTCCTAGCCTCGCGTACGGTTGTAAAATAACTTTAATTCAGGCTCTCTGCATCCTCTTAACCAATAGCGTGTCGTTGAAGACAAATGCACTTGAATGTTGTCTACTTTCTCGTGATAAAAAGGGTCATTAAAGTAATTTTTTTTTATGCTGAGGAATAACGAGGTAGGATGTCATACATGATCTAGTATATTGGGCAGTTGTGAAGAATTGCAATTTACGGAATTACATTCAAAATCGTGATGTACCTCGTTAGCTCTGTGAGGCACTAACAGATAACGAACGACGTAGCAATAGTACCATTGAATTCATTAAGAACATAGGGGTAATTCAAGTAATCTGAACTAAATTATTTTTTCTCACAAATTTGCGACATATTGACTTAATTTCTATTTACTCTATACTTTTTCTTCTCGATAGTAATTTATATATTTATTATTATTATTTTTTAAAACATATTTAATTTTATAATAGTAGTTTTATGATTGAAAAATAAACCAACCAGTACCATTGAGGGCAATGATAACCGTCAGCAGTTTTTTGCCCCTAAACCCAAAACAACAACAACATTCAAAATGGTTTTAAAGATTTTGTACTATTTAGATAGATAAATAGATAGAAATCAACTTTATATTAACTAAATTTTACAAAAAGAAAAGACTACTTCTGGCCTAAAAATTTGAACAATAAAAAATAAAGAAAACCTTAAGTGAACAAGCTATATACAAAGAGATAAAAGTATGAATAAAACACTTAAAACTATAAACAAAACACTTAAAACTATATATAATGGTTTAACAGCATTTATATATATTTCAAGAAATGGAGAAAGAAAAAGAGACAAAATAAATTTATTTATCCTCATAAAAAAGCTCCAAGTTTTTACTTAGAAAAATGAAACCTGCATCTATCAATATAAAGCGAATTATGTAAATGATGGATATTATATAAATCAACTAAATTATTTTTTCTCACAAATTTGCGACATATTGACTTAATTTTTATTTACTCTATACTTTTTTCTCTCTTTTCTTTTTCTTCTCGATAGTAATTTATATATTTATTATTATTATTTTTTAAAACATATTTAATTTTATAATAGTAGTTTTATGATTGAAAAATAAACCAACCAGTACCATTGAGGGCAATGATAACCGTCAGCAGTTTTTTGCCCCTAAACCCAAAACAACAACAACATTCAAAATGTTTTTAAAGATTTTGTACTATTTAGATAGATAAATAGATAGAAATCAACTTTATATTAACTAAATTGTACAAAAAGAATTGACTACTTCTGGCCTAAAAATTTGAACAGTAAAAAGATAAAGAAAACCTTAAGTGAACAAGCTATATACAAAGAGATAAAACTATGAACAAAACACTTAAAACTGGTTTAACAGCATTTATATATATTTCAAGAAATGAAGAAAGAAAAAGAGACAAAATAAATTAATTTATTCTCATAAAAAAGCTCCAAGTTTTTACTTAAAAAAATGAAACCTGCTTCTGTCAATATAACCTATTTATGTAAATGACGGATATTATGTAAATACATCATAAGAAGAGCATGATTATCTGTTACGGAAGATACGTGTAGGAGTTAGTTGTATATAAGAAAAAATATTAGTGATAGTTAAATAAAAGAAGAAATAGATTTATTTATACTGTGGATCACAAGATTTTTCTGCGAATTTCAATAACATTAATGAGATGGTTTCGGAAACTTACCATTTATTGACAATTTTATGAATGCCGAACAATGTATCAACATTTTGCGAAATAAATTAAAAATTATTGCCGAAAAGCGGGGGAATAAAGATACATTTTCATCTTCAAACAGAATAAATGTCGCCAAACACACAACAAATTAAACAAAATGTTGTACAGTGTTCCCAGCAATTGAAAACGCCTCCAAAGTCTCGGAAAATAAATGCTATAGAACATCACTAGTTCATTTGAAAGTAATAAAAAATTAATTAAAAGAAACTTTGAAGAGAAATAGCGTGAAATTGGAGGAGATGCTGCTCAACATCTTGTTTGATGGATTCCAAGAAGATTGCATATTGTCCATAGACGTACTAGTATATATCCAATTCGTGAAATTTGAAAAATAAACTTTAAATTAACACTTTTTTTTTACTGTGTTTAAGTGATTTTTATTAATTAAGTTAATTATGGATTATAGTTTAATTAAGTTAATTGGTACTTAAATTAAGTTTAACATAATCCACAATTTTCAGGAATAATTCTCTGGACAGATGAAGCTACCTTTACAAGAAGAGGTATCTTCAATCAGAAAAATAACCATCTCTGGTCTCAGGAAAATCTCCATGCAATTCGTGAGCATTATTTTCAGCACCAGTTTCAGTGCAATGTGAGGTTGGAGATCATAGACAATGTTTTAATAGGTCCGCATATATTGCCGCCTCGACTCAATGCAGGCACATTTCTGGAATTCCCTAATAATGATTACTATGATTTAGTTGAACATATTCCACTACAACTGAGGAGGGACATGTAGCTTCAATTAGATGGTTGTCCTGCACATTGCGGAAGTGATCCACTACAATGGCTAAATGTTATTTATCCCAATCAATGGATTGCCCGTGCAGCACCAGTGGCTTGGCCTGCACCCTCTCCACACCTGACATCACTGGATTTGTTTGTTTGGGGTGACATTAAACAAAAAGTCTATGCAAGTTCGGTCAATGACCTTAATCCTTATGAAGAAGGATCATTTGAAGCTTTTGAAACAATAACACATATCCAGTGCCGTTCTGCCACTACTGCTGTTGAAGAAAGATGCTGTGGCTGTCTTAATGCTCAAGGAAATAACTTTGAACAACATTTAATATGAATTTAATGTTTACGCTAATAAAGTAGTTGGAAAAAATAAATATGTTTTATTTACTTAATATAACATAAATAATTCATAACAATCAAAATATATATTTATTTCTCTTTTGTTTGTATGTACATATTGTGTGAATGAGCACCTGTAGCTCTAATACTTGTTCCCCTTCATTGTGGCATATTGTTTTATTATTGAATAACCTCATTTTTTAAAAAATGGAGACTCAACAGTTAATGCTCGCTATTAGACATTGACCATTCCCTGTCGACTGAAGGATCACAGCGTGTTAACTGCCCAGTGATATGATCGAAATTTCTTTTAATGTCATATTTGCTGAATAGATTCACATTATATCCTAGCTTTGTCTAAAGCCTTATAAAATTCTGCTAAAATGTAATGTTAAAAAAAGTGCTGGATAAATAAATGATGGTCGAAATAATTAATTAGCAGCTTTAAATGCGCGTAAATGAATTACGGTTCTGAGGTGCACAGAAAAAGCATTACCTGTAGACCTAATTTTAATTCCTTTTAAATTAAGTAAAAAACGAAACGATCGACCAATATACAAAATTACGTAATGCAATCCCAGTAAAATTGTTATCATCGAAATACTTTAATCTAGTTGCAAATTCTTCATGGTTAACCACTTTTTTCTCCTTTTTTATGGCAGTTCCAAAATATTAATTTTTTTAAATTCCGCTAAAACACCTCCTCATAAACTGAAAAATGTCTTCATCTTTCACCACGTTCTTATCACCACCATCCACGCTAATTTGTATATAGAATAGGTAGATAAATAAAATAATAGTAGGGTAGCAAAGTTTTCCTCTCCATTTAATAAATTATTTATTCAAACCATTCAAAGATATTTATTCTTTTATTTTTTTATACTTTATATTACTTTCGATTTACTTGAAAGACTAATTTTTTGTCTTTTTATATTTAGTTTCTTTAAATCTTCTATATCTTAAGTAGCTTTTTTATGAGGTTTTTCCTACTGTGTGAAATTAGGGTTCTGTCTAACACCTAAGCAATCACACCACTATTATAATATTTGTAAGGTAATTGTTACCATAAGCATATAATCATAATTATGACATAACGTACTGTAAAAATATGTAGATAAATAGTAATTAATTAAAATAATAAATCTGTCAACTATCTCCTGCCTGGAATGGCTCTCAAATGGACACCACCCTGAGATGAAACTCGAAGTTTTATCTTAAAACAAAACAATCCTCCTACTTACGTCTCGGTCTACTCGGACGTTCACCGTTGGTAGCGTGGTAATGGTAGCGTGAATCACGTCGTGATTCATTCGTTATCCTCATAACTAGCCTTACACGCTCACTTCAGTCGCTGCGGCGAATTTATTGACATCAATTATAAATTTTCTAAAATCTTAATGAGTTTTATATACCAATCATCATGAATATTTAATAAGAAAAAAATTAACGGAACTTATAATGAATATTTTTACTGCGCTTAATAAATGGTTCTATTTGCGATCTATTATTATAATAAATTTCATTAAAAACTGCACCGTTGAATGATATATTCTTTGTTTTTATGAAAATAATAAATTGCTTAAATAATTTTTAAAAAATATTCATTAAAAGTTATTGGTACAATATAACTCATAAAATAATGTTAATGAAATCCTAAAGTAGCCGGGTATGTATACTAAGTGGGCCGTGAACTAAGTGGGACGATAGCTATATATAGGGTGCCTCAGTGGGTCACTCCGTTAGGGTCAGGTGTCTGCTTATGTCATAGCTCTACGTCTGTCTGTATGTTTTTTTTCCCCCGCTTTTTATTACCAAATCTGGTTACTGGGCCTCATTTCCGTCTGACCTCTCTCAGGAATATTAGACGGGTCATTATACGATCAAAGGCCCGATGGGAATATTTAAAAAATACATAAAACTATATATAAATAAAATAGCAAAATAATTTATACTCAAGATAATTAAGTTTAACAAAAATAATACCGATTTTAAGACGTATTTATATGTATAAAATATATATCTGAAAATTAGTAAACATCAAACTAAATTATTTGCATATATATATTTATTTGTGTGTATATATATAATTTTTGGGCTATGGAATCTGAGATTTTGGTATACAAATGGGTCTATCATAAGCCCAAACCATGATCGCTGAGCCAGGATACATATGTTTATAAAATTGAAAATAATAACGTCCAACAAAACAATTATAAATTACTATCGAGTTACAAACTATATAAATTGCAACAGAACAGAGGATTAAGTTTTGTTTTCAAAAATTGATAAGTGCTGTTACAAACCCAAACAAATACTATTATCCGTCATGTGTAATGAATTGGAAAGTCACTTAGCAGAAGATGACCCATCGCGTAATATGCAAAAATGAGTTAGTGTTGGTTTTAGCTAGGACATGACCTTAAACCGAAATGAATCGTCTCTTGGGCAAGTTATTTTTAATGAAAAATAATAGTCAACAACTAAAATTGAAAATAGGTTGCAACAAAAGAATGAAGTTAATTTATTGTTGTTTTTTTTATTATTATTACGGTATTAATAAAACACAACAAATAAGTCGGTTATAAGAAAATAAAACATGGTAGGAGCTTGTGAAGAAACTAACCGCTGTACATCAATGATTTATTATTATTATTATTATTATTTAGGAATTTCCTTGGCCATCTTCTTTTCAAACGTCTCCAGAGGTTGTTATGAATTGTTTTGGATGATATGTTGTAACTAGAGGATTATATTTATTATACCAAGGAGTTCTGAATTAAAAGAGAAATATTTAATTCTAGCCAAATATGCAACTCAGAATATTGAGGTATTTATGAATAATCGTTGATTAAATTATTTTATACATTATAATAATGCTTTGATATATATATATATATATATATATATATATATATATATATATATATATATATATATGCTATATAAAATATAGATTAAAATGAGATTTGAGAAAAAAAAAATTTGGTAAGATAATGTTTTTTATAGTTAATTTTTTTTTTTTTTATTTGTATTCGCCTCTACCCTAGAGGGTCATTGGTGGTTTTTCTTAATTTTTATAATTTACTATAGTGATTTGTTTCCAATAAATATTCAAAGAGAATGATGATATTTGCCTCATTGTCTCCCAAAATATCTTTCAATGTTGTCGAAAGCTTTAGTTTTTGTCTCTGTTTCTTATATAGGGGGCACTCTAGTAGTAAATGCTTGACTGATTGAGGTGTATTGTCACACTTTTCGCAGGTTGGCGCTTCGAGTCCTCTAAGTAGGTATCCGTGTTATAGTTAATTACAATTCAAAAAATCGGAATGAATATAAAATTCTCGTAGAATAAAATAAAATTGTATTAATAACGTCTATATGTGTTCTACCACCTATCATAGCCATATATTTATACCATATTTATTATCCAAGTTTTTTTTTGAACCCGACTAAGTTTATGTTTGAGAAAGGAGATGTTTGCAGCATTTTTTTTTATATTCTCCCACTTGTCAACAAGCAGTTTGAAATGATCAATGCATTTTAAGTAGAAGAGAAATTGCAGAGCACTTGAAAAGTAATGCTCTGTGTGAAAGTAACGAGACGTGGTAATGAATACAAGTTACCTATTTGCTCCTTTAGGATTTACTTAACTAGCTCTTATTTGGTTTTCTTTTTTACTTTTTCTAGGGCAATCTAGGCTTCAGGAAAGTTGCTTAGAAACTTGTAAAGTAATAATAGAATCGTTCCTAATCAATGATTTTATTTCTTAGATTCTTAGATCAGTTAATAGCTGTATCAGGCGGTATTTATTACATGCAGTTATAATAATGAAAATTGTATTTAAAATAATCTTAAATATATTTAAGAAGAATGAAGATAATAAAATAGTGATTAATTAAAATTCACATTGTATTGTTTTTATTTATTTTGCTTCTACCCCTAAAGGTTATTTACTTATTACGTCAATTTTATATTTTTTGTTTAAAATTTTTTTTTTCAATATTTGAAACGTTTTTCTATTTCTGTTTATATAACAGTTTTATAATCCAGGAAAATTCTTTCTTTTTTCGTTTTCATTTATGGGTTTTCTCTTACTAGTTTAGTTACTACATTCTAATAATATTGAAAAATTTTAATATCTTTTCACACTTATTTGCCTTTAGGTCAATTTAATAAGCAATCACAACTAGTATTTGATCACTATTTATCCATGAACGTTTTGGAAAATCTTTTTCCACTTCTTCAGCAAATGCTATGCTCCAAAATTGAGCAAAACTATAAATATAAAACTAGACACCCAATTTCGGGACATTGCATTAGCTGAAGTGGGAAGAGATTTCCAAAAACGTTTATAAATAAATAGTGATCAATGTTGAACTAGTTGGTCAATGAAAAAAATTATAATAAACATATACAAAAATTATGAATGAATATATTAAAACTATGATATTGTTGAGAATTAGTAAAACAATATTATGATAAATTTTAATATATATGAATGTACATATTCCTCACAGATATCTGGTATAACTGAAAAGAGCCACCCCAAACAATAAACTTCAAACTTTTCTAATAAAAATATAACCATTCTTAACTAAATCAATTTGGTACGTGACCAACAAAACCCTACACGATTTCATACTAGCATATTAATTTGAATATTGCTTCAGCTGATATGCCAATGAATATGAGAAAGAGACTAAAAATATGAGACATCTTCGTCCTTAACAAACCATCTTAATTGAATCAAGACAGGGAAGATGTACTGTTGAATGTTATCCTTCCCCATTCCATGACATGAAATTTCCATCAGACCACCAGCTAATTGTCAACACTTCCTCGACAGGTAACCTGTGAATATGTGATGATAAAAATATCGGATTAAATAACAGCAATATATTTCATGCACAAGATAAATAAAATGAAATTTAACTAAAAATAAAATAATGCCATCTTGACACGAATTCACATCTATACACAATATATATATGATAATTAGAATTTTTTTTGTATTTATTCATGATATTTACAACTGTATTATAATAAAAACACATTCAGTAAATGTGATAACAGGGAATTATAACATGAAAACACTTGTAGAGAAACTACACACTGGTACCACTCTAAAAAATTGCAATAGATCCCCATGATATCTTCTTTTCAGACGCGTAGGAGGGTTATCAGGGATCGAAGAGGAAGCAAGGTTAGAATCGAGGGGGTTAAGATGGTTCTGGAGTTTATTGTGGAAAGATAGGTATCTGTATTGGTTCAATTCGGAAACATGGAACAAGATAATTTTATTTGTGACAAAGTAAGGAGCATTGAGGATTTTGGATTGTAAGGATTGGGTACGACAGCAATTCGATGGTTTAGTGGAGACCCAAAGCTCAATTCAGTAAATCCAAATCCAAAGCCTTATTATAGTCATACATATGATGAGTCTTTTGTAAGTGACAGTTTAGAGCGTTTGTCGAGTAAATGCTGGAGTAGTCAGAATCATTGAGCGGTATCTTGTCGTTTTGGGCTTGTAGGAGGATTCCGAGTGAGACGGTTGTCCAGGTGGAGTCCTAGGTATCGGATTTGTTCTTCAGGGATAAGTGGAGTATTATTAAAGGATACTGTAGGACTGAAGTCAAGGGTTGACGGCGAAAGGTAAAGGTAGTTTGATGGGATTTTTTGAAGTTAATTTTATTCCTTCAGTTTTGACACCATTCTTTAAGGTTTGTGATGTGCGATAGAAGAGTTCGGGATGCAATTGATGGATCATTATTAACATTTGTCATCGGCATACGTAGAAAAAAAATGCTATTTAAAAATGCATTTTAAATTAGAAACAAATAAATTTAAAATATCATGTGGTAAATTTGAAGGAAGTATAAAGCTTTTCGTTGTTAAAAAAAAAAAGGAAAGGCCTATAAATATTACTTTATGAAATACGTAAAATGTTATAATGCTGATTAAATAAATATAATAATTATATAATTAATTAAATCACCAGAAATTTTGAGATTATTATTATTTTAAAAAATATCCACAACTCTTCATCTTATGAAAAAACAAATCATATTACCTTCCTCAGGACAATTTCTCCTTTCTAATGGACTTACCTTTCTTTCTGCTTATCAGATCGGAACAGACGTGACCCCAGCTTGGCGAATTCTTTCGGTCTCTGGAGTACGATATGATGGTATTTTGTTGCATTTTCTTTTTTTTTTTTTTTAACTCTCAATTATTTGTTTTTCCTAGTAGTTAATTATCGAAGTGATAATTGAACCGTTGACTAGTTTAGGAAAAGTAGCCTTTTAAAAATATATTTTAATTTT